TTGCGGTTGCCTCCGCAGCCTATGAGCTGGAGACCGCTTTGACTGAGCCAACTCCACAGAGGCATGATCGGACAAGCCTGCCGCGTCAGGATCCGAGCTCTGCATGACGACCTCCTAAAAAACCTTGGGGATTATGCCCCCAAGGACTGTCAAGCCTGCAAGTGATCAAACATGCGATCGATCGTGTGGCTGCTGGACGAAGACATGACTATAGCTCGCCTCTGGGTAACTGAAATAGAAGCGAACAAGTGTCAGAGCTTGAAAAACTCTGCGACTTATCCACACTTTGCTTTCAGTTTAGGCACCCGAGATAGCTCACGTCAAACAACAAACGCACACGACCTACCAAGGATTTTGGAGGCCACCATGATAAACCCCTCTTAAACCCAGGACCGCCGAAGATAGACTTAAAAACCCTAATAAAGCTCTAAAAGACTCAATGTGGCCATGACAATGGCCACTCTCAACCTCGAAAATAAGGAAAACAACAAAAGGAAGGTAAAAGAAACCTTACCAGAATAAGAGAATGAGATATTTTTGCTGGAAAAAGCACCGTGAAGATGAAGAAGCAGTGATGGAATGAACAAGAACGTCTGAGAATTTTGGCAAGATGAGTAAGCTTTCTGATGAGTTCGCCCGCTTTTATAGTGGTTTGCATGGGAGACAAAAGGGTGGGGCTCGATTGTAGCCGTCGATCTATAGTGAATCTCGACCCTCCATTCGTCGAGCAATCTCGACCCTTGGACGTGGCCACGTGTCAACTATCCGCGAGGGACGACGAACCCTTAGGCTTCCATGATCATAACCACCGTCGCACGTCGCCTCAACTTCGCGCGTGGACAGTTGTTGTTGCCCACGCGCAACGAAAAGTAACTGTCAAAGGCGACCGCATGGAATTTACACAACTATCATTCCTTTTCAAATTCTGAGTTTGTCAAGAGTGTTGCAGAAGAGAGAAGGTCCAAGTGTGGAATACGTCAACTGAGCACTAGTCCGACTCTCGAAGTTCGATCGAATTTGCATTCAATGCCCTAATGATAATGTCGAGCTTGATATCAAATCAAGCAATAGTCTTCAAAGCTCAAAATGAGCATCGAACACTAAGGGGCAGATGTTGTGTGTGATTTTTCCATCAAGCTCGGAGAATTATGGGATAATAACTCAATCCAAAACCAGCTCGACTCTACCGATTGTCCGACCCAGCACAAGCTCGTCGAGTCATAGGTCGACTTAGCACAAGCTAGTCACAACCAATCCTTGCAGCTATTCAACCAATTTGCAAATAATCTTAGATCCTGGATATCTCGAGAAGAATAAGATTGACAACAATCTTTGCGCAATCACAACACCCAATCTCGAGAATATCGGAATTGCATTTCAAACTTAATTGTAATCCCTATATTTTTGCTCTTTCCTTTGTACAAACTTTGTATATAAACCCCCTCCAACGATGAGAAAAGGGTTAGAAAACATTTCTAGGATTGTCATTGTAAGCTCTCACAACAATTATAACAAACAGTGGACGTAGGCTTAGGAGTTCATCTCGCCGAACCACTTTAAAAATCTCTTTGTCATTTACTTTACAGCCATTATTGTTTACTCACTGCTGGTTACCCATAACCACGCACACATCAGTTCTGATCCCGTCAAGGTCGATCGGATCACTGTAGTTGATGCAAATTTTTGTATCAGCAGATTTTTTTTTTTTTTTTTAATTATAGAAGAGATGGACTTAGTCATGGGGATTGGGGGTGAAGATCAATTAGATGGAGGGTAAAAATCACTTCCCAAGATTATAATCAAGAGTAGAGTTACTGGCACCCTATTGATGGACTGAAAAATACCCCATTTCAAAGTTTTAAAATTAATTTTTTTTATGACACCCTATAAATTTCATAAATGTCCGTCCTTTTATATTTTATAAAAGCTAATATTTCATTCTCTTCACTTATGCTAGGTACCTTCATATCGTTCTTTTTAGATAATTAAATTTAAAGTTAAAAAAAAAATTAACACTAAAAAAAATTCTTACAAATAATTCCAATAAGATAATATAGCTAAGGAACACAAAAACTATATATATCAAAATAACTATCAATACTTTGAAAAAAAAAAAAAAATTTATATATGAAACAGTAAAAACTTATACTATTGTATTGCTTATAACCTGAAATATTACATTGCAAATTTTCTCCTTCTATTAATTTTTTTAAAATAATAATCTGAATAACATAAAATAATTAGAGGTTATAAGATAACAGTAAATGTCAAAAGTATTGGTGAAAAATAGAAAAATTATCGTTAATTTTAATAATTTAATATGGAAATAAATTTATCATTGTAAATTTTATTTGAAAGTGAAAATTTTTAAATAATTTAATATAAAAATAAATTGATCATTATGAAATTTATTAAAAATTATAACTTATTAATTTATTAGTGAAATATGAATAGATAATATATACAAACTTAAACTCCAAAGGGTTAGCCTAAGAGTAAAAAAAAATTGCTTCATTCGTTGACTTCTTCGATTCAAACTTGGGACCACCTACCATAAATTTAATTTGTGGCTTACATGGGACAATGGTTTTAGAGGTGTTTAATGAACTTCAAGAATTAATTGAGGTATACGTAAATTGATCTAAAAATCCCGATAAAAAAAAAATTATATATATAACCTGTATCAAATTAGGTCAAGTGTTATACTCTCATTGAATAATCAATGAGATGAGTAGCATTGTATTATTATTTGGATCAAAACAAAAACGGAGGAGGAGAGTAAAAATCATAAAAATCTTATAAAAAAAATAATATTACACTCACAACCTCCACATGACCCCATATGACAGTTCACAATTAATCAATCATAATTTATTAAGTGAAACTCAAGTGAGATCTATCATAAACTAATTAATCGAGAGTTACGATATCGAAATTATTAAATAAAGTTTATAAGAAAAGATTATCTAACGTCTTTTCATAAAAAAAAAAAAGCATTGGAATTTGGAGCTATTAACTATGAATCATAATAGAGTTACACAAAAAATATTAAAAAAAGTAGCGATATTTGCATCAATTGATCCGGATCAAAAATTGTTTTGGGAATTTTCCTTTTAGTAATTTTTTTTTTTTTTGGCACCTAAACCCTGTTTTTTTTTTTAGGGAAAACAATTTATACCATTAACATTATAAATCAATGAGAGAGAAGTAATTATTACTTTAACGTCTCCAAAAATAAAGTTTGGAAAGTAGGGATTAATTTATTAGAAAGTTGGAATTAATTTATTGTAATAATTAAATTGCTTTTAAAAAAAAAATGCAAAGATACCCGTTTTATCTCCCAAAGTTGCAAATGTAATCCCTTATTACAAAGTAAATGATTTTTTCTTGTATCAGACCTTTATCACTTAATGTTGCAAGCGTAATTTCTTATTGCAAGTGTAAGAACCGTTTGCAAAACATCGATTTTCAACACATTTTCATACAAAGGCATACCCTTTTATCTCATTTTTTTTTTCAATAAATGAATATGCTAGTTCATATTGTGATATAATAGTTGTTGGATAAAAAATGTTTTTTGTAATTGATCTGAATGTTGTGTGGATAAAATAAGATAGAGCTTAATAAAAAATATTTTATGTATATTGATTTGAATGTTGTGTGAATAAAAAAGAGAAAGCTAGATAAAAAAATATTTTTTGTATATTAATCTGAATGTTGTGTGAATAAAATAGAGAGAGTTGTAAAAAAAATATTTTTCGTATATTCATGTTTTATGTATATGCATTCTGAATATTATAACAAAATATATTTTTCTTAAATATTCTTAATCACCTTAAATTATATAGAGATAGATATAATATATATTATATATATATATATATATATATATATATATATAAAGTCTAGTATAGAATGAGTATGCTATGTCATTATGATAAAAGTCATTTTCTCTAATTTGTTTAATAAAATTAGATTGTATTAATTTAAAAGATGAACGAAAATATTAATATATTTATTGATCTCTTTTAAGAAAATATTTTAAAAAAATATGACGCATCTTTTTACATAGATAGTAGAAGGATATCTTAACAATGAATGGTGGGCTACAGGTTATGCGTTGCTCCACGTATTATTCAAGTGTTTATATATTCATCGATCTCTATTTAAAGAATGTTCATAGATTTTATACAATTTAAGTGTTCATGCAGTTTTGAATGTTCATAGATTTTGTACAAGATAAGGACTTAAAATTTGATAAAGCCAACCATTATAATCTAAGTGTTTATATTTCGTTTGATATGATTTTATTTATTAAAAAGTAATAATTTTCATGGTGGGAGGAAAACATTATTCAAATTTGGAAGACAACTATAGGATCCGAAGCGCGAAACACAGTTGTATTAAAAATATTGTTTGAAATTGAATTTTTATCAATAATATCTTGAATATAATTAAACTTATAATTGCTGAATAATAACTCATACCACACAACTCTTTTCATATAATTAAATTAAATTAAAATATTAAATTTGTTCTCGATAACAATCAAATAATAAATCCAATGTTATAAAACTATCTTATTGAATTTGATTTTGAGACTTAAATCGTTTTTTCACATTTTAAATTAGCACGAACAAATAGGCTCATTCTTTTACTTTTTAATTTAAAAAACAAAAAAAACAAATAGGTTCGTTTTATACGTAGAACACCAAAAATCAAATATGCCCCTACTTTATCTTTATCCATTGATCCAAAAATGGTTTTGAAAAGCAAGGAAAGAGTGGCCCCCTTATCCATCATACGTGGCAGTGTGTTACACATCATCAAAAGATAAGCACCATAGATTTTGATTGATTGATTAATTAAAGTTTAACAAAATTCACCCTTTTATTTTAATAACAATATCACACATGTCCCCATACTCCACATCGTAGCACCACTCACTAAAGTTTTACTCGGTCTACATAGGACACGTTACACAATACCATTGAAACGACACCAACACTCAAAACAAAACGACCATATTTACATCAGTTGGTAACCCATCATCATCATCACTTCATCTTAGTGATGGTGGTTCTTGCTCCTTGTCTCGCCACTGTAGAGCCTGCAATTATCACATGCATCCCAACTTCATATTAGTGGGTATCTCATTTAAAACAAACCAATATCAAAATAAATCACAGCCATCTAATATTGATCATAGTTAATTTCTCCATCGCTACACAAAAAAAGTAAACAAATACAACTGCTGGAATTATTGGATCATAAAGTAGCCACTGTGGTTGATCTTTTTATTATACTACATAAAGAGTGAATTGAGTGATTACTCAAAAGATCTATTTCAACGCGCTCATCAGGCAGACTGCCACGTTTTCCTCCCTCCTTCTGGCCTTTGTTTGGTTGCTGAGAAAACGGTGTAAGAAACAAAAACATATATTGAGCCTCATATTTAATTTATTTATCACAACTGTTTCTTTTTTATCTTTTTCCCTTTTAAATGGAATCATGTAAGAAAATAAAAATTATAAGCTCAAGCAACATATATTAAAAAAAACCTCTTCTGCTCAGTTGTAAACCTTAAACTTGAACAACAGAACAAACAGATAAAGCATGCGAAACATTAAAGTTGCTAACTTGAACTATTAATAATTTTCTCGGCTACCAAACATAGCATCAATTCTTCCATCTTATCAAATTATAGTTACGATTTACAAGAAGCGCGTGGATATAACAGGCATGCAAGATGAAAACTTGAGCTGTGTACGTACCAGTCATAAACAGAGGGGGAGTTGGGATGGACGGGCTTGTCGAACACCTCAGCCCCGATGCCTCTAGTGGCAAGGTTGCTACCCGGGTGGAACACGCTCCTCCACACGTTGTCCTTACGCGCCGATACTGGTGTCGTTGGTGTCACTGGAGTCGTCGGTGTCGCTGGACTTGCGGGCATTGAGAGAGATCTCTGGTACCTGCTTGACTCTCCTTCACCATCTAATACCCGTCAGTTTACCATCACATAAACATAACTTAAGATTTTATCTGATGACGAACGTAAAAACGAAGTTCAGTTTTTATATATATACCTTTGATGTTCAAGGGTTGAGTGGTGATCTTCCTGAGCTTGCCAAGGCCACGTTCAGGGTGAGGGCCTCCAACGCCGTCGTCCCAAAGCTTATCCAGCAGCATCTTCACTTTGTATTTTAAACTGTCTTCTATTCTTGTACACTGATAATCTGGTCACCGTACTGGTTTATATAGAAACATAGATACCTAAATATCTCTTACATTATTATAAATTTATTCTTCCAATAATATATTTACTACTTCCAAGCATAGTTTATTGTTGTGTAGTGAGTGGATGTAGTAAATGACGTAGTGGAAATCGGAAAATAGATGGATAAGGATGAAGACTGAGTAAAGGAGGGACCCGCATAATAATATCCACTCCAGATCTAGAGAGAGTAGTTGTGGGATCTCTTCACAAGTGTCACTTAATTTACAATTATTTGTCGCATTCTTTAGAGCAACGTGGGGTCCCTGTAGATGGATCATGACCTCTGATTTTGACATGTGGAACCCACTGCTTTCATAATTCATCGTTCGGTTGATCTCTGATTATAGTGTTTTAAATACAATTCCGTATTTTAAATGAAAAGATGATCTCAAATCTTATCGTAAGTTATTTAAGGGGTTTTCTCGTCCCAAGATTTAATTGAATAACAAAAGATTTCTTAAGATAGAAATAATAAAAATTTCCCCATAATCAATGTATTGATGGAATTTATAGAATAATGGATTGATGAATAATTATCTAATTACCTTTTTATTATTTATTTTAACGTAAAAATGTTGAAATACAAAAAGAGTTTCTATTGTTTCTATAAGGAGAGTTTTATTATTTTAGCTAAAAGGGATTAACCCAATTTCCCACCCAAATAATGACATAACGACACTTTCTCACCCATAAATTTTTAAAATACTATTTTACTATCAAAATTTATTTTCTTTTTTCCATTCTGACATCGTTGTGATCCCACGCCACTATCGTTCTCTGCTCCGATAATCACTTACCAAAACCCCTCAAACCCTACTCTCTCCAACTTAGCCAATTGCCAACAATCGAGCGATTAGGTTTACACAGCTACCCCTCCCAAGTCAAATTCTGATAAATCACAACCACCAAAATCTAACCTTCTACCACCAAAAGACTTATCGGCCTCCCCTCATCAATAACCCAACAGCCTAGATCAATTTTACTCTTTGTTCACTATTAGAATATAAAATTTGGATAATAAAGTGGTATTTTAAAAGTTTGTGAATGAGAAAATGTCATTAAACCATTATTTGGGTGGAAAAAGGTTGTTTACTCATTATGTAATGGTAATACTGCTAATGAAAAATTGTAATAAAATAAAAGTAATATTTTTTAAATTTTTAATTTTGCGATAATAATGTGATGTTTAGCAAGAAAATGTTAATCTAATTTCTGATAATATAGCCAATAAATAATGCATGGGAGGAATGTGGATTTGGTTAAGAGATTAGGGACATAATTGTCATTTTAATAAGGAATTAGAGTCAGTGTCTAGTAAGTTCCATCCAGCAAGTAAAAAGAAAAAATGAGTCAAAACTTATGGGTGTGTCCTGACTTAGAATATAAGGTATTTAATTAGCGTAAACAATTATAACGTAGAACAAGTTACTAAAATTTTGTTCCAACTTTAGATATTTAATTACCTTTCATCCAGATACTTCTGTTTAACATTACTGGATGTCTTTTTCCGGAACAGATCCCTTATACAATCATAAACAAACATGATTCTTTGTGACATAAATAATGATCAAATAATATGACCTAAAATTTAGCATAAAATTATTCTCTGGTTTTTTTTTTTTTTTTAATACATATTTTGTTTTAATAAAGTTTTGTCTGGAAAATGTCATGCAGAAGTCAATTCGAATAAAGTTTGGATACCAAAGTCCATATCTAAAAAATTGACAGATAGATGACCCATTTCATCCAGATACTTCTGCCATATTCACCCTACTTACCCAACACAGAAATCAGGCAATAGAGTGTTGTTATTGAAGCTCCACTTAATTTCTTTCTAAATCCCATTTATCTTTGCCGTTGCTAATGACCAGATCTCTAGTCATTTCTGGTTAGATTCATTCATAGATCTGATAAAAAACAATCAGATCAAAGAACAATCGACCCATTCCAACAACTACCAACAAACGATAGTGACAAACGATCGACTATTCTCTTTGATGACTAAAGTGTTTTTATTAATTTTTAAACTTTTATTGTAGAATGTTTTAGTTAAATTCTCAAATATAAGAGAATAAAAAAATAATTTATATAATAATAATAAAAAAAAAATAAAAAAAGAATGACAATTCAGTAATCTATATAACATACCCACTAATTTATTCAAATTCAATCAAACAGATCTTATACAACAGTCCCAATAATACAATATTCCTGAATTGTCTACAAGCAACTAATACATATTGCAGTGTTGTTAACGTAAAAGGCCTTCCTAATATATGAGTAAAGGGATCAAATGCTTTATCAGGGTATTGTTTTAATAATAGAAGGTTGAATGGAAGTTGAAGCGGTGGTATGGCATTTAGGAACTACATTGAATCAATCAACTTACAAGTACACACATACAATAACAGCAACTTCAGATTTTATCAATCAAAAACAGAAAAAAATGTTTTTTTAAATTTGAAATTTCATTAATCAACAAAATTTATTTGAGTTTTTGGTATTCCATAAATTCAGTAAAATCATCATAGTAATCACATCCAAATTATGGTGCTATTTTCTTTTTTAATACTTAAACCATATTGCCCAGTAGAACATATGAATAAAGAATCATCCACTGGGACAGTAAAATTAAAGAATGGTTCTAAAAGGGCACCACGAGGTGACATTTGGAACACATTTTTAGCAAATTGGTTCCAGCTAATTACAAGAAACATAAAAGGTACAGACAAAACAACATTATATTCCTTTTTTTAAAGTCATATGCCTTTTGCATCCTGCAAAATCACCCAAATTTTCGTCACCTACAACCATTAAGTATTCAATATCTAAAACTTAAAACCCTTACCTTTATTGGCCTAGATCCAGCAAAGCCTTGTAGCGGCCACTGATGCCATGCTGAAATGCTTTCTTCCCCTTTTATTCTTGGTAAATGCGGAAAAATCCGTCCATAAATGACCAACTCCTTTAAACAGATGATAGGACAGGGCTAAGGCACTAAGCTCGAGGAAGATTAGGTCGAGCTTCGATGAATAAAAGAGGAATTGGTAAAACCATAATAGGTGAAGCAAATCGAACCCATTTTCAGATAAAGAAGATAATAAACAAAATTATACCGGCTAGGTAAGCCCCAGATATCTATTCAAAATTGATACTGCGAATTAAGCTGTGGCTTATAAATAGGAAGATGAGGAGATAAGGGTCGAACAATCTCGTTATTAGTTCCATCAACAATCCTTTGCTGAATTGGATCACTAAATGCCTTGCTCCCATATTGCCTCCCAATCTTTTTGTCAAACAAACCCCCTTGCCTTTCAGCAACCTGTTTCAAAATTATACAGAGACTTTTGCATCATTCTCTGAAATGTATAGTAGAAGGAACTCATGTCATCTGTTATTGATGTGTTTTCTCGTTAAAGTTACAATGCTTTTGATAAATGATGAACAAACTATTCCTCTATTGAATTACTGAATTGCAGGAAAGCACTGCCTTAACAAGATCAGTCATTATTGAACACTTTCATAGTTTATTTCATGTTCTAGAGTTTTACCAATCATTGGTTCTGTTAAACTCAATCACATAAAATTTTCCATTAACAGAAGTCCTCTCAGTTTTAAGGAAAATGGAATTTCCAAAAAGTTGTGACTTCTATGGTGTATCATTCGATACCAGTTGCAATCAGAATGTATCTAGGAGGAAATAATTTGTTAGAGCAGAGGGGATCTGACCTCATTAGACATGAACATAATATCGCCAATAACATCAATTAGTGAATCACAGTTAAACGTTAGTTATATTATGATACTGCATTTATATCCATCAAACTGGAAGTAAAAGGTAAGTGTAAATAATAATTAACTAACACATAATGGTGGATGAAGAAGTCACTCACTTCATGTTTGTCAGGGACAATGCCAGTGCGAAGACTGACTAACTTCTCAGCTACAGAGCGAATTCCAGGTTCCAACACAAGTTGAGCAGAAAAGGTGTGATGACCATGTGATCCCTTGGAGATATGCAAACAACATCATAAATTTTCGTATACAGTCCTTAAGGAACTGGCATGCACCCCATCCTGTCCCATGAAACCACCTTGGCTTTTCACCTGGCTTCGTCGCTTCTAGCCCTGCATACCTTGTTTCCTCATATTCTGATTCAGACTCCTCCACAATTCTCTCTGCATTTTGAGATTGAAAATGTGGGTTGTCCTGATTCCCCTGCTCCAATTACCCAAAGAACTTCTGCCTTCCTAATGTTTAAATAAGTATGATAGGTTGCTATGTGGTGAGACATTTTCAAGGGAAGGTAAGGAATATTTGAATGCGGGTACTCCTCACATAATGTATTATTCTGAAGTGAGTAACCGCCTAAGCACCTCCTGACCTTCTGAATCACTCCTAGCAATTCTGGCCAATGCCATGTTGTGAGTGTGAAGTCTCAATAGCTTTAAGATTTAGTACAATTTAGAAGCTATCACCTATTAAACCTGCAGTGAGGGAGCAAGAGAAGTAAGATGCAAAGTGAAACACTGGAACAGGAGGAGCTCAGGGCAGAAGTTAAATAGACGAAGCCAATTCAAGCACCCCAAAGATTGTGCAAGAAGACAATAAGCAACATTGTATGACACTACTAGTCCAAATCAGGTAAAGAGTTTGTTGAAGTATGAAAACGATTGATTCCATGACAACTTGATAAGAAAATAAATGACAACAGTTAAAATGATAAATAGTAAACTGTCAACTTTGTTTTCTTCGTCATGTGAAGGCACATACAAAGAGAAAGTCTTTAGAACTCTAAGATGACGAACAAACAGAGAACAACGAGCATACCAAATACATTTAGGCCTATGTTGACACATTTTATGCAAGCAAAAACTTTGGTGACTGCTACCAAAATTTTCTTTGGGATTTCCAACAGTTTTTTTCCTAAAATTATTTTAAAAATTCACAGCAAGTTCCAAAGAACATGAACATGAGCTTCTATTTC